GATAGGTTGGGGGGGGGGGGGGATTTGAGGATGGATGTTAAGTGTATGAAAATTTGTTTGGGAAGCTAGTTGAGGTGTTGGGTAAGAAAGTGTCTTGTGTAGCCATTACTTCAGATGTGTATAAATAATAATAAAGTATCCGTTCTTTACGTAAAATCACTGGCTGTCGCTATGCGTTTGGCATTTGTTACAAACTGTGAGGAAGTGATGAAGGAGAGTGTTATTGAATAAAGTTTTTAACACTCATTTGCATTTTAGAAAGTATCTTTTGAACCGAATATGTAATATAACATATATTTTTTTTAAAATAACAGGTTGATTTTTGACAATGTATGGGTGTAGGTATTCATGCAGAAAATCGAAATAAAGATTGTGTCAAATTTCTACGTTTTGTACATTCCTGAGCTGGAAAACCGAATTTTGCACTCTTGTCAGTATGCATCTATGTGTGTCTAAGAGAGAGAGAGTGACTGCTTGTGTGTTGCGTGATTATGTGTGTGTGAACACGATAACATATTACGCGTTATTCCAAACCTTACTGTTATATAGGAATAAATACAAAACATCTAAGGAGCTCTTTTTAAAAAAATTCAACAAACCTTTAAAGAGGATAGGCCTACATAATAATATGCTTCAGAAAGATCGAAGTTTAATAATTTATTTTGTACTGCAAAATCTAAAGAGCTGATTTTGATTTACTAAACTAACTAAACAATATAAAAATCGTAACAAAATATTAACCATACCCAAATGATGCCTCAACTTTAAACCAAACATGCCAGCATATTTAACTCTAGCAACTATTACATTTATACACGAACTCTAGCCAAACCGTACGTTTTAACCTACACCTGAACACAATCTCAGATTTAAAATTTAATTTAACATTACCAAAAACGCAAAATTAATATATCAAATGTGTTATCCATAAAATCTAGTAATAAACGAGTAATATTAACGTCATCTTTCTTTTACCTTCTGTAATTACACATAAACAGAACGATAAACAAACTATCAAACAGATAGTATAAACTATATGAAAGCTTTAAAAAGAAAGAAAGCTTTCAGTGAATTGACATATTTTTATTTATAAATTTATAATGACTTAAAATTGGAAAATGAAGCAAATATAAAAACATTGAAAATAATACGCATTTAAATAAATATAAATAAAATAATAAAATAAATATCGCTACTTTATTTAATACAAGTATTGATTGATAAAATGTCTAAAAGATTTCAAGAGCGACCAATGCTTTTATATGACACAAAGCAAGTTTGTTTCATTTTTATATTTTAAAAATAATTTTAATTTTACTATATTTCATCTGCATCTCGAAAATTTTCTATTACTGTGAAACAAAAAGCTGGCTTTACTTAATTTGTATCATTTTATCGAGTTCTTCTGAACTTGCTGCTTGGACTAGGATGATGACGAAGACCTGTTTTATTACAAAGTCTTACATAAGGCAGTGGTCAATCGCATTAAATTTTCGCCACTCGGGGAGAATGTATATAATGAACACAATTTTTTGATACATTTTGTTTTTGACCCACAGATCAAGCGCCAAATTGTAATCGCTTGCACGTCTGGAAAAAACCTAAAGTCTTTGAAAACTACTTCAACCTAGATGGATAACATTTCTCTGAGAATAATGGCACTGCATCGTTCACACTACTGATAGTAGAGCAGGAGTTGTGTTGGACTCTAATTGTGATATTGGCTTATAGAATATAGTATCTTTAAAAAAAAATAATTAATAACATTTTTTTAGAGTATTCACCTATGAATGACGATATTAGTCGAATTTTCGTGAACATCTGTAATTCCCATTGTTCGATAGGTCTGAAATTTTAGCATATCGATAGTATTTGGATGACAGTTCAAGAATAATGAGTTTTTATTTTAATTAGATACACAGTATGTATTAGTCATTAAAAATCAATTTTAAACATACCATATTGATTAATAAAAGTGGAGACAACATGATTTTAAATATATGTCTCATAAAAAATAAATATTTTTAAGAAAAATTCTTATTTAATGTACAAATCACAAAAAAATGAAAAATTGACAAAAAAAACAAAATAAAAAAAAACAGTTAATTTGATGTAACTAAAGTAAAGCTGCATGCTCGTATGACTAAAAATAAAAGTCTGGGCTTTCAAAAGATGAAAACTGAACACAGGTCTTATATTTTTTCAATTAAAAATCGTGTGTTTTGAAAACCAAACACGTATTAAAGAAACGACCTGGTCTAATATAAAACCTCTTACATGTATTGTTACATCTACATGTATTTTTTATCACAACAAATACTAGGTATTGATATTACAATAAATCTGCTCATCTGGATAGTCTTCATAGACATGTTCGTTTTCGTATACATCAAGTTCCACGTGATAGACACAGTCAGCTTCGGTACCTGTCATGTTTTCATAAAACGTGCTCTGTTCTGGAAAAGAATTTTACTTTTTAACCTTTTTATGTATTGTAGCTATAATTAATTTAAAAATCACAATACAATGCAACACTAGGTAACCATGATACTATATCGATAACAAAATGTCCATGCCTCAATATGCAAGGCCCAAAGTCCTTGACCATGACCCTATGCACATGTCTTTCACCAACAACCATGTTGCAATGAATGCGACCCATGATCCCGACGCGCTGACGTTGACCCATAGATATGCCCACATTTCTTCATCCCACTGATAATGACTCAACGACCATTAGACACTGATCATGACTTAGTATTTCTGACTCAATTACCACTCATAATCCACTCCACATCTTTGTCTCAAAGATAGGGGTCGGCGTGGTCGAGTCGGTAAAGCTCATGGTTCCTAAACTGAAAAGTCTCGAGTTCGAACCCTCGGGCAGATGGGGACAGCCTTACTTCTAGGATAGACAACTCCAAAATCAAACCACTGCTGCCTTGTAGTTTGTTCTTGGTTGGACAAAGACTATGGAAGCAAATCCAAAAAGAAAAGCAGGCTGAAATCGGAGTCAATGGCGCATAACCAGTTGACACGTAATCCTTAATTGTGATGCATGGTCGAGTCGGCAAAGCTCGTGGTTGATAAATTCGAAAAAAAAGTCTCGAGGTCAAACCCTCTGGCAGATAAGGCTCGATCCCTCCCAACACTAAAAATTAAGAACGAAGAAGAAGAAGAAGTCTTAAAGATCATGTTCTAAAGTCCATGAATCTTCTACTAACCTATAGGTGGTTTTATAAAAGTCATTTGTATTAAGTGGTGAACATTTGCTGCATGCAGTATTCAATAATTAATGAGTTAAACCCAGCATTTCTAATATCAAATTTAATATTATGCGGAAATATTTTACTTGTTTGGTTCTCGCTGCCTGTGAGGTTTTTAGATTCCTCCAGATTAAAATTGATTGACTGTGTTTTACGACGAAATTTTATAGCTAGCACCACAGCAAGCACGGTAAACACGACCACAACACCAATACCAGTCCCAATGCCAATCCATTCAGCTAATCCAAATAAATTCATCTTTCTGAAAGACGTAAAATTCGATTACTAACTGGTTTACGTATCTGTGTAAAAACAAACTCTATTGAGAGAGAGAGAGAGAGAGAGAGAGAGAGAGAGAGAGAGAGAGAGAGAGAGTTTATTTTTCGGGGTACAAATAGTTTTGAATTATTGCGTTTTGATAACATTGTACTTATCAATAAGAATTTGAAAACACAAGCACACCTTTATTGTAGCCATGTGCAATATTACATGCAATTTACTTTTAACGCAAACATCTTTCAAAAGTGCATTGATAAGATTAAATGCTTTTCTAACACGTTGCTGACATTTTTTAAAGTATTAGACTTTTTTTCTCAGGGTCATCAACACGGACGACATTTGAAGCTGTGTGTGTTATAGGAAAGGGCGTTTCTTCTAAACGAGTGAAGCGACCAGATATTACAAAAGCTTACAGAGTGTGAAGGTGCTTTTGGTTTTACATATTTTAGAATCAAGTATAAAGACTCTGGATTAAGTGATCGGACAGTACATAGTAAAGTTGCGTTTATTATTTTTCAAAATAGGTATTTTTTACAAGCTTTTATATTTAAATTGCTTCATATGTCGCTGGTCTGTTGACAGTATGTCTATCTGTCGTCATAGATCGAAACACTCGAGCGAAATTTCGGGCACTTCTGTCTGACAGATGCGGTTCAAATTTAGCACGTGGGTTAAAATATAAAGACACGGTAATCTGGGATTAAATTTGACTTAACTGGATGAACAATTAATTTTCTTTGAATTATTTTAAAAATTCCAAATTAGTAGGCTGCCTTACCCAACTATCCTTCAGTATTATACGCGCGTTATTACATTAATTAGGTGCGCACTAATATTTAGTCATGCAACTCTATTGCAAATAAAAAGTTTAAATATAGGCTTACTTAAAAAAAAATTAATAAAAAAAACGTTTTAGGTATAAGATTTTATGTAATAATGCACTAAAAAGTAAAAAAAAAAAGATTTTAAAAATTTATTATTACACACAACTAAATAACTATATGGAAAAACGTGGGTTTCTTGCTAAATATTAGTAAAGGTATCAAATAGAAATAAAGAGACTACCCTCTTCTTTATAGTTATTTAAATAGGTATGTGTTGTTATATTTTTAAAGGTAATCATTTACTTTCTACTTTATAGTGCATTAATACGTATTATGAATGTTCTTTATCATTCATAATGAATTAGAATTACCTAATTTGTCGTCATAATTGTTTCCATCATTTGACACGTTCCTCACAGTGGTAAAGCTAATTGTTGCATTGGTTGTTGTTGTAGATGTCACGTAAGTTGTTGGGAGAGTTGCAGACTTTGTGACGCTGTCTGCAAAAAAGACAAAATAAAAATGTTGGATACTAATTCATTTTGTCTTTATAATAATTTAAATACAAAAACTGTTCGGCCGAAATATCAAAGGGTTAACGTAAATTACAGCAATATATCTCAGTTACAAA